CATGCGACGTGATGTGTGTTTCACTGGTGCTGTGAAATGCCTGCAGACGACGTCACTAGTGGAGGCATGCCACCCATGATCAGCGGACAGACAATAATCGGCATGGGAGGCCACAAAAGGCAGCAACGACGCCAGCAGCAGGAGCAGCCCTCTCTCTCTCTCTCTCTCTCCGTTGCCTCCGAGAAGTAAATATTCCACCAGCCACAGCCGACTGTGCCATCGTGACACTCCATGCACGTCGTGGCTGCGTCAACACATCCTGCTCCCTGCAGCGCCTCAAAAGATGCCTCACTCCGTCCACTAAGTGCATCGGTGTGGGCCGTGCCTGGGCTGTTCGTGAGGACCACAACGATGTGAGGGTCACCAAGTCGCAGCATGTTCGCTGTGACGTTGTTGCATGGCACCTGCACAAACACACGCAGCGCCTGCATCCCTCCCTTTTGTGTCCGCCCTCTGCCGGAGTGGCCACACACACACGGGCAGCAGCAAAATCACTTCACCCTCGACGATCCAAAATCAACACCGACATCCCTCGCGACGCAAAGATCTTTGTTGCCAGCACGGGCTTCCTGCCGCTCTGCCATCGACGCTGAAACACGGCACAGTGCACGCACTTATTTTCCTCTTGTGCAGTCAGCCGTTTGCTTCACACATTCTTCGATGGGCTGACGTTCACAAAAGCACGCCACTAAAGGCCACTGTGATCGCACAAGCTATTGTGATGAGCGTCTGTCTGTGCATGCATCCGCTGCTCACACGTGCTGGCAAGCAGCCTGCAGCCGGTGCCCTCGTGCCAGTTCATCGGCTCCAGCACGGAAAAGAGAAAATGGCCTATTCCCGATGCACTTATTCCCACCGGCAGCAACAACACGCTGGTCGCCAGCCGTCATTCCTCAGCACATCCAGAAATGCTGAAAAGTGACGTGGAGCTGTCAGCCAGCAATGCCACAATCCCCGCACACATGTCGACTACACCAGAGAAGAAACACAAATCACAAAAAACACCCTTCACATGTCATCCGAACATCGTTCCGACACACCGCGACACGCCAAACAGAAGTATTCGTCACTCCAATGCACCTCCTCACAGAATCACATATTCCATGCACCACGCACGGCAGCAGCTCACACGCGGTCAAACAAATGTTCTTCGGATAAGTGTTATCCACGTGCTGCAGTGGGAAGTAAACAAAAAAAGACGAGCGGCCAAACCACAAAAGAGTGCCACGACTGGCCGCAATTCAACGGAACGCAGCCACCCAAATGAATTCAGTCCTAATGCCCTCAACCTCCCACCCTCCCCCACAAAAGCTGCAAAAGATTGAAGACAAACGCACCGTCCAACAAATTCGCTGTGCAACACCAAAAGAAGCCGCAGTGTCTTATGCTGTCCTCACAGTCCGTTGATGACGCCTGGATGCGGATGCTCACCCATCGGTCCTTTCAAACGACGCCGCACACCCGCGACGCATCCTGCGCTCTGAGAAACGCGTCCCTCACTATCACCAGAGACGCCCACGCACCGTCGGTACGCAACAAATCGTCAGGGAACGAAGAATACGTCAGGCTGACAGCAAGACACCTGCCGACAAATCACATCGCAGAAATCATCAATAGCAGCGCCAAAAGCGATGCAGACCGTTGGGTTAACGTGGATCAACGGACGCACGCCAAAAGTCGAATAAAAGCTTAGTGGCTTGACAAGAATACAAGAGGCTGGCGCTTCCTCAACAAAAACAAAACAGTAGAAAAACAAAAACAAAAATCCAAGTCTCCGAAGTCAAAGCAACCCAATAATCCACAAAAAAAGTTAATTGGTGCACTCAACCACAACACAAGTAAAACAAAAAACAAAAAGCCGAAGCGTGGGACGACCAGCGCACACACTCTCATTGCTCCCGTAAAGCAAAACACACACACAGGGAGAGAGAGAGAGAGGTCGCCCACTCAATGCAATAAAAACAAAACAGAAACAGTTACGGTGCTCCGCCCATGCAGCCAGGCAGGACGGCAGCGGTGCGTGTGGTGCAAAAGAGAGCACCAACGGGCCTGCATGGGTGTGCATGCATATATACAATGGGCACATTATGTGTGTGCTTCGTGGGATGAGGTGAGGGCGGGAGTCCATGCAAGTGGACACACACAGAGAGTGAGTGAAAGACGAGTGTGTGTGCGGGCGGTGCACGGCTCTCTCTCACTCACTCTCACGCAGCTACCACCGCAGCCGCAGCCGCACACGCAAAAACAAGAAGCAAAAGAGGGGAGGTGGTATGGGAGACAGCAGTGCTGCTGTCACTGTCGCTTTCGGCAGTCTTCGCCGTATCATTTGTTTTGTTTGCTGATTCTGCACTCTGAGTGGCTGCATTCTCTGTGCTGTCTGATGCGTCGTCAGGATTGGGAATAGCTGTGAGCTGTTCGGCATCCTCACTGGATGTTCGACTCGAATCAGTGGCGGGCGGATTTTCTTCTGTGACAGCGTCAGGCTTCGGGGTTGTGTCTGCTGCAGAGCTGCTGACGCTGCTGTGTGTATTCTCCGCATCAGTTTTTCTTGTGGTTGCTGGTGGATTTTTATCCTCCTTACTCTCTGTTGGACTATCATCGGCGCCCTCACGTTGATTTCCTCGTTCTTTTTTTGCGGCAACTAGCTGCTCAGGACTGTTGGACGTATCACTGCCACTCTTGGGCGGAGGGGATGGAATTTTACCTTCTTCATTATCCGTTGGTGTATGTATCGCAAATTGGGATGAGACTGCCCCCGTTTTCTGCTGTGATAAATTCTTGCTTAGGGGCGTGCGCAATTCACTAGCATCTTGAGCTCGTTCATGTGCTGCTGAAGTTAGATGCACTCCTTGTGGTGGCTGTTTCTGTTGCAGTTGTGCTGCATTGTCTTCCCTTGCCGGTATTTGTGGACCCTTTGGTGTTATTTCTGATTGATCGTTCTGAGGCATAATTCGAACTTCATCTTCGGCTACCTCATCACGGTTTTCTTGCCTACGATGTCCGTCTTCGCTCCCACAACCCGACTCTTCATCCGCACTACATGACTCTTCATCATCATTGTTAGAATTCAACAAGTCCTCAGAGACGTCACCACCACTCACTGCATTTTCCAACGGTTCACTTCTGCCAACCCCAACCCCATGTCCGGCCAAACTTCCAGTGTTGTCCAATGAGCCAACATCACCAGGAGAACTTGGCGCCAGACCAGGTGAAAGTGCAGCAAGCGGACCTTCCAAATCTCCTTCAGCGTAAATCTCGTCGGCACCGCACCACAGCACGCAGAGGGCACACACCAGCAGCACACGGCCACTCATCATCATCGCCATCACTCCTGTCACTTGCGTGTAGCCTTTAGCACAAACTAACTCCTCGTAAACGCAGAGCAAAAGCAAGGGAGAGACAAGTCACACAACCACGCACCGTCCCATCCAGAAATAAGAGTCACACACCGCCACAACAACAATTAGGTGGGCGCGGTTCAACAACAACAATCAAAACAAAACAAAAAAGAGAATCAATCCTCGCCCGTGCCCCGTTCCTCACGCTCCCAAAGTCACTATTACTGTTATTCCCTCTCCTCAGACCCTCACAGGCACGCCACGCTCAGTTCAACACGCGCCCCTCCACCACAGGCAGTCCGTCATGCGTTCCCGCTGCGCCGCAATGTCCGCCATCTCCTCCCTCAGTCCAGCAGCTCCATTTCCTCCACAATCGCCGGCATGCCCTGCCGCGGAACACACACAGCGCCACAATGTCGTGCCGCCTCTCCTCCCCAATCATGAGCGCAACGCCCAACGCGTACTTGCGCACGTGCTCCATGCGCTGGAACCACCCGCGGATCAGGTTGGCCGTCATGAAATGCATCTCGTCAACCTCCTTTGGGTTGGAGCAGACCCTCAAATCCTCTCAATCCACGGCCTGGGTGCTGCGAGAGGCTGTCAAGAAGTACCATGCGCGTAAAATTCTCCAATGTGCGGGGCGGGGTTGGTAGCCACCCACGCTCAGCTCCCCACACTTCCCCCCGCTCCTTCCACTCGCCCACACACAAGGCCAAAGGCATGGGGATGAGAACCTCACCGCTCAGCGCACGCACGAGGACACACGCAGCAGCAACGCCATCCACGTCGCACCGCAACAAAAAGCCATGCGCACAGCAGACCCACAAACGCAAAAAGAGGAACAGGGTGCGTCCAGTTACACACCGCAACCCTTTAGCTCTCTCCGCCCTGACAAATTGACATCGCGACTCACAGTGAGGCACGGCGCACACCATCCGCTGAATTCCGAGAGCAATCAACAGACCGGAGCCCAGTCACCCTCGTGCCATTGCAATGGGGAAAACAAACAATCGTCGTCGCGGACCATCGGTGCCTCTAGAAGAAAAGAAAAAGTTGTGGGAGCATTTCAACAGCACAGCCAGCAGAGGGACAATCAGCGGGACACGGAGAAGCGCCCAGTGGAAGTAGGCACGGTACATAATAAAACGGGCCGCAGGGACTTACCAAAAGGGACAAAACAAAAAAAAAAAAAAAAAAAAAAAAAAACAACAACAACAAAAAACGTGAAAGTCTAGAAGAAATCCAAAAAGTAAAAGGAGAAAAAATTAGTGAGAATTGATTCAGCAGCACTTTTATTACATGTGCCATGCAGCACAAAACGACCATGTGGTTGTGTGTGCATATTGCCCGCACCAAGAAAAAAATTAAAATAAAATAAAAGAAAAGATCGTACTGTCCCACCAGCCCACACAACATCCCTCACATTTCATGCGGCATCCGGCCTGCTCCTCCACTCCTCCTTTCGTGCAGTCCGTGGGACGCACAACCGAAGGGCTGGCACCGCGTGTGGGCAAAAACAAAAGCAAACAAAAGGAGAAAACAAATTACTTAAGAGAATGTGCATGAAGTGGCTAAGGAAAATAAAAAAACGGCAAGAAGAGGAGCACTTCTCAGATATGGTGAGAGGATGGCTCCCGGGGCGGCGAAAAAAAAGAAGCAGACAAACACAGAGCACGACTCGTGCCTTCCACGATGTGTAAGAGGTTGTTCCACATCACTGCCCAGCAGCACAGGCAACGGCGACCATAAGCGGCAACAGTAGCGGTGTGTGCACCCACGCAGTGATGATTTCTCTGCTGTCCGCACTGCCTTCGTCATGCGTATTGGTGTCTTTGGCCGGTGAGGGTACGGCGGTGCTTCATGTTGCTGTCCTCGTCATTACTGTCGGGTCGATCATCACCTTCATCGTTCGTGCCAGGGGAAGCTGTCTGAGATGCGTTGTCACTAAGCGGCGGAAACGACGGCTGACACGAGATAGTGGGATTCGGCTCTACATGAGCACTCCCGTGGCGCAGCTAGCCACCCTAACGTGGTGCCAGGGTCTAGCACTCTTACTAAGAAGAAAGCTAAGTGTCTGCTGTTCACGCTTCAAACTCGACAAGTAGTTGCTAATTAGTTTTACGGGCCGGAAGGGCAGATGTTGGAGCCATTTGTAATGGCTGCCCGCGGGGTAAGGTTATCCTTGCTGCTGAATTCCTTCGTACGCTTACCAGAGCTGCACATTTGAGGTGTAGTTATTACGACTGGTAAGAGAAGAAAAAAAAAAGACGACCACCGCAAATATCGCAATCCTTCAGGCGGTTAGTAAACTGCCTTCCAGCCTCGTCGCCGCTCCTGCTGTGCGGGGATTTCAACATGCATCACCCACAGTGGGAGCCATTCTTGGAGTCTTCTCCAAGCGAGGTTGCTGCAGAGTTTTTAGAACTGTGCACGGATGCGGGACTCACCTTGGTTAACACCCCTGGTGAGATCACGTATGCTCGTGGCACAAGAGAACGATCCTGTATCGATCTGACATGGTCAAAGCATTTGACTGTGTCAGATTGGTCAGCTTCTGTGTCGCCGCTTAGTGATCATTACATGCTAACATTTACGCTGCATCAGGCATTTAAGGATACCATACCTTCGGCACCCCCTTCGGCACCTAAGACATTCTACAGTTGGGGGAAGTGTAAATGGGATTTATTCATCAAGGACTTCGACGCACAACTTCCGGCATATGACTATAAAAAGCAGTCCACCGGCATTAAAGCTTTCACGAGAGCGGTTATTACTTCGTATCGACGACATTGCCCCCGCGGCATGCACAAGGATGGTCCCAGGCTTTGGGACGACACTCTCATGGAGGCAGAGCGGATTGCTACCGACAGCAAGGCCCGCTATCTACAGTTACCGACGCCCGACCGTGAGGCAGAAATGCAACGGACAAGGAGTCAATTCTTCCTCCTACTTCGAGAGCGCTTGCGTAACACGTATCTACGTCGCATCAGCAAGTTAAATCCAGGCGAACCACTCGCATGGAAATACATTTCCGGACGAAAAAGGGCATCACTTCCACCTCCTACATCATTGTTGTTGGGAGATGGTCAACACACCTATAAAACAGCAAGGAGAGCAGCGAATGCTCTCAATCGCATCTTTTTTCCACTTCACCCCTCTCACAAGGCAGTAAGGTTTTCCAAAGGCATCAAAAGACAGAACCCATCTTTGGGCATTGTCTCTTCTTCTCTTTTTGGGCAGCAGAACAACAACGAGTCTGCTGCCTCATTTACTTCATTTTCTTCTACTTCTTCTAGCTCTGTGCCGCAGAACAACTACGAGTCTGCCGCTACATCTAATTCAGTTTTTTCATTCTCATCTAATTCAGAGCCACAGGATAACAACGAAGCTGCCACCACATCTGGTTTAGTTGTTCATTTTCACTCCCCTCTTGATGCACCTTTTAATCGTACGGAACTGCTTGCTGCGCTACGTAATACGCCGTATGGCAAGGCCCCCGGACCGGATGAAGTCTACAGTGAGGCACTGCGACATATTTCGTCAAAGGGTCTTCGATTCCTTCTTCGTTGCATTAACCACAGCTGGACGACCGGTACGATCCCGGCTGAGTGGAGACGCGCTACCATCGTCCCACTCTTAAAACCCGGTAAGTCGCCGGAACTGCTTGAGTCATATCGACCCATCAGCCTTACTTCCATTGTGAGTAAGGTTGCTGAGAAAATGGTACTGAAGAGATTGCTTTGGGTGTGGACGCCTCACCCCCACCAGTATGCATATCGTAGTATGCGTACCACGACGATGCAGCTGGCACACCTGATACACGAAGTGGAGCATAATAGAAATCATTATTTCCAAGTGAACCTTCCCAAGAAGAGCGGTATTGGTAATCAACTCCACTACAGACCCCATCGGACTCTGCTGGTGTTGGTTGATTTCAGCAAGGCTTTTGACTCCATAGATCATCGAGTCCTCAGTCGCTTGCTGGCTAATATTCCGGGGGTGAATTGTAGAAGGTGGCTTAGAAACTTTCTATGTGGTCGCTACGCGAAGACACGAGTTGGTAACAGAAACAGTGATCGGCGTCCCATGTTGCGAGGAGTTCCTCAGGGGTCCGTACTGGGACCATATTTGTTCTCCCTTTACGTACACCCACTTCTCAATCTGCTGAACAGCTTTGCGGATGTCACAGCAGACATGTATGCGGACGACCTCTCTATTATCGTTAAGGGGCAGTCCCGGGAAGACGCCATTCCCACTGCCAACATGGTTCTCAAAAAACTGCATGCGTGGAGTCAGGAAAATGGCCTGGCCATTAACCCGTCAAAGTGTGAAGCCGCTTGGTTCACGCTCTCCACGCACACGGAGTCAGATTATGATCGTGAAGGAAAGTGGCCCCTGGTAGTGGCTGGATGTGAAATCCCAGTCATGACCATGGGGGCATCGCGAACTACGAAGCTTCTTGGCATGGATCTCGATCCACGACTGACGCTAAATGTGGCGGCTACCAAGCAATGCGCTGCCACTTCGCAGCGGATATCGCATCTACGCTGCATAGCGCATAAAGAGGCGGGACCATCCCCACATGACCTACGCACGTTCGTCATTGGATATGGTGCTTCCAAATTACGATATGGCAGTGAGCTCATATGGGCAGTAGCGACGGATTCAGCGAAGAATGAGATGCAAAAGACGTACTCAACCCTGGCACGCATTGTCAGCGGAGTTCCGAGCACTGTCGACCCGGAATCCGCACTTCTAGAGGCTAATATGCCGCTGCTCCATGTCCTTTGCCTGCGCGCACGGCTATCCATATTTGAGAACACACGCGCATGTCAGATGGACTGGATGCGGAGACCCCCGCCTGAGCCACCGCCTCGCGCAGGTTTCCGCATCTCGCCATTATCTCGGGACGAGCTATACGCCTTTGTAGACGCATACACAAAGGACTATGGCATCACTCAGAGCTCACCACGCGAAGAGCGGTTCTTTCGCAGCTCCATTCCTCCCTGGTTTGCGGCCTCCGCACACCGGGTCACCATTGGCGTGGAACTTCCGATAGACCACTCAATAACTGACGAGGAAGAGCTGACAAGGGAAAAGCGAAGAGTCAGCGAAGAGGCTCTAGAGCTGCACAGCCATCGTTCGTGGATACTCGCGACGGATGGCGGTGTCGACGTTCCCAAGTCAGCCGGGGTTGGAATCCTGCTTTCATCCCTCAATTCATCGGAGATAATAGAAAAGGCCAGTATAAACTGCGGCACACGCCCATGCAGCTACAGGACGGAATCCCGTGCACTGCTTCTGGCCCTGGAAAGGCTGATTATCCCTCGTATCCAGCACAGGCGTAAAACCCTGCTTGTGGTTACAGACAGTCAGTCTCTTCTTGCGGCTTTAAACAAGGGCCCGCTCAGTCAAACAGACTGGACGGAGGATCAGATCTGGCAGCGTCTCTTGACACTGACGTGTGCTGGCTGGTCTGTGCACCTGCAGTTTTGTTACGGACATTGTGGAGTACATGCTAATGAGCTTGCAGATCAGTATTCGACGCAGACTATGGAGACTGGACAATACACGGAGCAAGGAATTGCACCTTTGTGGCATACGGATCTGCTGACATGTTTTACTACCCAGCTCACCAACAAGTGGCGTAGTACGATTCGTCAAGACACTCATCGCTGCTTGCTTTGCGGCACAAGGCCATCAGATCTCAGCGGTAAGGACCTAATCACTCAGGAAGTCCTTCACCGTCAGGAACTGGTTCACCTCGCAAGGGCAAGGTGCGGCGAATCTGAGCTCTGGGGCCGACTATACTGGGCTGTGAGAGATTGCACGAACCAATGCCGTTTCTGCAACATCTCACCAGAACAGTCTGCATATATGCGCTCTAACAACGACCCGACTGCACCTGGGACGGGCACTGTTCCCCCCTCGGCAAGGGACGAAGACGTCTCTCCAGTAAGGCGACGAACCGTCACACGCCTTCGGAAGGAGAAATGTCCGTACTGTGATTCTATATTGACGGGATTCTCGAATCTCGTCAGTCACTGTCGGTCATTTCATCCGGAACATCCTCCACCGCTTCCCGAGCCCAAATGCGATTTCTGTGACATGGTTTTCCCTATACGGAGAAGCACCGCACAGCACAGAAGTCGCTGCGCACACAACCCAGACGCCACACGACATCTAAACAGAAGTGCCAGGAGGCGATCTCTGCTGCCGCAGGATCAGCCAGCTTCCACAAGCACGCCAATTGGCCCGCAGGAGACCTTGCACCATCTGCTTCTAGAATGTCCAGGCACCTTGGCTGTGCGCCAACGGCTGGGCATTGAACAGGACCTTCGCCACGGAAAGTTCTCTTAATGGCAGTTGGCTCACAGCAGGAAACTTTTGTCGTTACTCGACCTCCTCTTCGGCACTCAGATGGCATTGTATAGCCAGACGCGCCGCTAAGAGTGGGAAGAAAAGGGTGCCGCATTTTTATATGCGGAAATGCCATTTTATTTTTATTTTCTTGGAATAACGTACCTGTTTTTAATGCCTCAACTGTAATTGATTCCTTTTTTTTTCTATGCGTTTCTTCGAGGGAAAATAAGCTGCCTGAATTTACTTTTGTGGTGACTTTGGAAAACAATGCAATGATTATTCTTTATTTTTATTTTTATTTTTTAGGGATTTTGCGTAATTATGACCTTTTTTTGTGCTTTTATGATGTTTTTTTTTTTTTTTTTTTGGTTTTTTTTATCTTTAACAATATAATACCACAATTTTTTTTTAATGATGAACTTTTGTTGCGTAAAAGTATCAGATGAGGGATGAGCAGCTCTTGCTTAACAACAAATGTTTGTAAGAAGTGACTATGCAACATTTGGGAAGGCTTGGAAAATGAATGGCAGGAGCTTTCTAACTTCTTTTAAAGAGTTGAGGGGGCATTTATCATGAGGGCTGCTTGACCCTCTGGGCCTTTGGTTTAGGAATTGAAATTAAGTATTATTTAAGTTCAATTGTTAAGCCGAAAATACAGGCAGTTTGGGGGTCCAAACAGAAGAAAATCACAACTCCGCCCCTAACAATAAAAAAGCCGAATCTTCAACTCTTTATCCAGAAATTAAAGTGGCGTTGGGAGTGGGGCTTCTACGTATGTATGCGTTGTAAGTTCTCTTTGAAAAGGATATATATATACTGTAATCCCTCATTTAAGGAGTTTTTTGAGAAACATCAGGAAACATGTGGCTTATTTGGATGTGGCACCGAAAACACAAAGGGAACCACACAAATGTTTTGCAATAACGTATCCTATTGCCGTTGCATCGCTTTTGGGTATGTAAAAATGATTATTTTTATGATTTTTACTAATTCGAATCAGTTTACGAATGAGGATATCAGGGATGCATTGGAATGGAGAAATTTGGGTTAATTTAGGAATATAGTTTTCTGATTTCGGTGTGTGGGTGATCCTCTCTTTTCTCGTGTGAGAGGCAAAAGCCTTTAATAACACGACGGAGGGTAAGATGCTTGGCATTTTAGTCCAAACGGCGAATATTTTTGAGGAATATATATATATACGTCGCATGGCTAAAAGCGTGTCTTTTTATTGATACTTATTCGTGGTGTTCAGGTAACCATTATTTTTTTTTTTGCTGTGTAAACCTCTTTATTGGAAAGTCATTGGCCTAATTGGCCTACGGCTCAAAAATAATAAAAAAAAAGTAAAAAAGTTAGAATCACGGCATTAGGCTTTGCGCTTTTTGGGTGGCAACGAGGTAATATGTTTGGGGTTATGTGGAGTTGAATCTTGAGTAACCCATTCTTTGAGAACGTTTATTTTTGTCCATTTGCGGATTTATTTATTTATTTTTTGGGATTAAGGACGGAATGTAGCCAATGGGTCTGCATATCTATTGCCCGTTGTTGAATTCTATTCTAGATATGGGGAAAAACTGAAGAAGCCTGCATTTGAATTGATTGATTTTTTTAGAGGCTTTAGAATTCTTTCTTATGTAGTTTCCTACAATGCCCGTTACTTTGCGAGGTTTGAGGTTCTTATGGCCCCATAAGAAGTTTATTTTTCGAAGTTGTGTTTGTTGGAATGTTCTATCCATGGAATAGTGGTAAAAAGAAGAATGAGGTTTTTATTTTTATTTTTGGCTTTGACTCATTATGAAAATTCAGTAATTTGTCTATTTATTATATTATTTGGCGGCTGAACTCGTTATCGACGATGATAGTTATTCATATATGAACACTAACGCCTTTTACGGTTGAAACTCCTTATTGTTGAGTACTTAATCAAAGAAAGGGAAATGCGATTTTACCTTCTTCTCATTTCTTATTAAACAACTACACTGGAACTGCGTATGTTTGATATTGTTTTGAAAACTTTCTTAGGAAAATTGTGGTCATTGGGCATTTGGTCAAATTGTATATATAAATATATATATATTGTTCATGGGATTTCGGAGGATATATACGTGTTTATCTTGGGTAATACTTCCGTATTTGAAGTGTATATGTTTGATCTTTTGTTTTTTCTTTATATGCCTTTTTGTAGTTTTTTTTTGTTGATTAGTCCGTGGGGTGGTGGATAAATGTTGCTGTATTATTATTATTATTATTATTATTAATTTTTGAGTGAGAAAATGCTTTTTTGTTTGTAATGTTTGTTGATTGGATTTACTTCTCGTTTTTTTTTTTTCTTAAGGATTTCAAACGAATTATGGGTTTTATTTGGCACTGTGATTGTGATTGGCGGTGGAAACACCGCGATCGAATCTTTGCTCTTTCCCCCAGGAAACACAGAATCAATGAGACCGCCCTTTCATCTATAAAAGGCGGTTGTGTGAACGAGGGCGAACTCATTGTTATTCTACACAATCTGCCACCATTTTTTATGAAATGGTGTTAATATGTGTAATGGTTTTCTTTTTGTGTCTGACAAGGCAACATCTATTACTTTTCCGTTTTGTCCAGTTTTTATTTATTTTACTTTTTTGGGGGGGGCTCTTTTTTTATTGTTGTGTAAACTGGAGTGACTTGTAGATCAAGCGGTGTTAACCACAGATTTTATTGTCCACGGTTATTCCTTATACAATGGGAGGAGGCATTTCTAATGCGAATCAGAGGGAAAACGCTCAGGATGATGATGGAAATGAAAAAAGGCAATGGCGCATTGATGACGGAAAGCGCAAATTTATAACTTCAACAGTAGATTCAGCAAATAAGGGGTATACTGAAGGCATGAGTGACCCTCTTGGTGCGAGGGGAGTTCCTGATCCTGTGGAAAGTACGACTCCACGTAGTAAATTAACTTTTTTTAAAGGGAATTCCGAAAATCCTATGTCGGGAGCTGCCTCAGCTGGCAACTTCGGTAAAGGGGCCGGCAACAGCAGCTCCACGAACTCAATGCGGAACATGCGGAATGCTTCCGTGGCGGTCCAAGAGGATTCCGAAAATCCTATGTCGGGAACTGCCTCAGCTGGCAACTTCGGTAAAGGGGCCGGCAACAGCAGCTCCACGAACACAATGCGGAACATGCGGAATGCTTCCGTGGCGGTCCAAGAGGATTCCGAAAATCCTATGTCGGGAGCTGCCGCAAGTAGCATCTTGGTTAAAGGGGCCGGCAACAGCAGCTCCACGAACTCAATGCGGAACATGCGGAATGCTTCCGTGGCGGTTCAAGAGGATTCCGAAAATCCTATGTCGGGAGCTGCCTCAGCTGGCAACTTCGGTAAAGGGGCCGGCAACAGCAGCTCCACGAACATAATGCGGAACATGCGGAATGCTTCCGTGGCGGTCCAAGAGGATTCCGAAAATCCTATGTCGGGAGCTGCCGCAAGTAGCATCTTGGTTAAAGGGGCCGGCAACAGCAGCTCCACGAACACAATGCGGAACATGCGGAATGCTTCCGTGGCGGTCCAAGAGGATTCCGAAAATCCTATGTCGGGAACTGCCTCAGCTGGCAACTTCGGTAAAGGGGCCGGCAACAGCAGCTCCACGAACACAATGCGGAACATGCGGAATGCTTCCGTGGCGGTCCAAGAGGATTCCGAAAATCCTATGTCGGGAGCTGCCGCAAGTAGCATCTTGGTTAAAGGGGCCGGCAACAGCAGCTCCACGAACTCAATGCGGAACATGCGGAATGCTTCCGTGGCGGTTCAAGAGGATTCCGAAAATCCTATGTCGGGAGCTGCCTCAGCTGGCAACTTCGGTAAAGGGGCCGGCAACAGCAGCTCCACGAACATAATGCGGAACATGCGGAATGCTTCCGTGGCGGTCCAAGAGGATTCCGAAAATCCTATGTCGGGAGCTGCCGCAAGTAGCATCTTGGTTAAAGGGGCCGGCAACAGCAGCTCCACGAACACAATGCGGAACATGCGGAATGCTTCCGTGGCGGTCCAAGAGGATTCCGAAAATCCTATGTCGGGAGCTGCCTCAGCTGGCAACTTCGGTAAAGGGGCCGGCAACAGCAGCTCCACGAACATAATGCGGAACATGCGGAATGCTTCCGTGGCGGTCCAAGAGGATTCCGAAAATCCTATGTCGGGAGCTGCCGCAAGTAGCATCTTGGTTAAAGGGGCCGGCAACAGCAGCTCCACGAACACAATGCGGAACATGCGGAATGCTTCCGTGGCGGTCCAAGAGGATTCCGAAAATCCTATGTCGGGAGCTGCCGCAAGTAGCATCTTGGTTAAAGGGGCCGGCAACAGCAGCTCCACGAACTCAATGCGGAACATGCGGAATGCTTCCGTGGCGGTTCAAGAGGATTCCGAAAATCCTATGTCGGGAGCTGCCGCAAGTAGCATCTTGGTTAAAGGGGCCGGCAACAGCAGCTCCACGAACACAATGCGGAACATGCGGAATGCTTCCGTGGCGGTCCAAGAGGATTCCGAAAATCCTATGTCGGGAGCTGCCGCAAGTAGCATCTTGGTTAAAGGGGCCGGCAACAGCAGCTCCACGAACTCAATGCGGAACATGCGGAATGCTTCCGTGGCGATCGTCGGTGATTATGCGAGCGACATGGCAGAATCTGAAAAATCCAATCTAGAGGTTGAACCGGGAGCAACGACTTCGCAGGGTTCGGTAATGAACGTAGCTGGGCCTTTTATTTGCCAATCATATAACAATGCAGTAGAAAAGACTAAAGGGTTGGGGCGTGCGCCGGCGCCGGGTTTTTTCCGGAGTGTTGTTGGGCCGTCACCAGACGTTTCAAACCTGACAAGGAAAAAAGTGACCTCCTTTCTGCGGCCTTGCGTCGCTACTGGGTCTGAGGAAAAAACTTCACGTGATGTAGCTTTTGATCCACCGGCTATGCCGTTCGTCACCCCGTCAACGGGAGGTGGCAGTGCACGCGGTCCGCTACGGATGCGTCTCAGGATTAAACAAGGAAATGAGGGAAGCCCAGTAGCACGTGCCGATACTCCAGAAAAAGGTTCGCTTCATAAATCGGGAGCGAAAAACAAGACAGTTCCTCCGTCTGCTCCATATAATTTGGACTTTGAGTGGTAAGGCATGTATGAGACAGATAATCAGGATAAGAGGAGAGTGCATTTTAAGTACAGGCTTCCATGGCAACGGCATCAGTGCTGACACCGTAAAAAACAACAAAAACAACAAAAACAACAAAAACAAAAACAACAACAACAACAAAAAAAAAAAAAAAAAAACGCAAAAAAAAGGGGATGAAATTGAAGGAAAAGGAGAAAAAAAAAAAAAAAGCCTCTTTTGGGGATCAATGGCAATATGCCATATTTTGGATTTTCTTTCATAATACTTCCTATTCTCTTTTCTTTATAAAAATTAAAATTCTCTTATGTGTACAAATACACCCCCCTTTTTTCCATAAATATATATCTATATCTATATATATATATTATGATGTGAGTTTCTAGTTTCTGCCATTTTTTTTTTTTTGATTGGGGTATTTAATTACGATTCCTAGTGGTTATATTTTCAATATCTCTAATAATTTCTGTACATCATGACTTTTACAGCCCCACGTGGCGTTTCTTATTGACAATATTTTTTGCGCCTTCTCCCAACGCCTGCTTTTCTTTCTATTTGGTGAGGTGGTAATGGCAATGCGTTGTATAACACATGTTTTTTACCATTTTACGGATAGTATGCTTCTCTCGGGTATTTATTATTTTGTCTGTGTAGAAATTTTTATTTTATTTTTTTCTCTTGCCATCTCTTTGTTTATTCCTTCTTTGTACAGGAAAAAATTGGCCACACTTGCCTATTCTGTTTTGCCGTTCGCGTGGCTTCATTTTACCTTTAAGAGGGACAAAAATAATTTTTTTGAACGCTGTGCAGTGTGTGTCTATGTGTGTATGTGTATGTGTTTTAGATATTGTGCTATTTTGTCTTGTTTACCTCGAACCCGTATTTATTTTTTTATTCGCCTTAGCAATCCCCCTTTTTCAGACAGACACATACACACACACTCCCTCTCTCTCTGTATATATTGCTGTGATTTAGTAGATATGTAATATGCATCCATGATACATTGCTGTTTTTTTTTTTTCCAATGTGGATATTATTTTTTTTCTTTACTTCTTTTTTTTTTTTTTTTTTCTCCTAGAAAGGGGAAAGAGGGTGCAGTCAGCAGTAATATACTGAGTGCATCCGGCAAGGTGGGGAAAAAAAAGGAGCAGCAGGAGGATGATGGATGGAATTTCACCGAAATCTGCTCAGTTGGGTTTGGATGCGGCCTCTTCACCACTCCCCGGTGAAGAACGAACATTTTTAATGCAGTCCCCACAGCGCAGTGCGACCGCAGCTTCTTACCACTTGTACCATGGCCGCGCCAACGCAGCGGAGGCGGCGCCATACCTCGTCGCGACACAAAGTCATGCTTATATGAACTTGCCGCCTGCCATTGATGTGGAAACGGTTGAAGAGGCCAAGGCCATGTTGGAGCATTGGGAGGCATGGAACTTTCATATTCAACAGCAACTGCAGCTTAACAGTAAACCATCATCCATGAACAAGATGGGCGACCATGCGCCTGCTCTCGCTGCGGATTCCCTTTACTCCCCGGCGTACCATCTAACAGGAACAAATGCTGAGACAATTGTTGGCAATTCACTTTGCAACAATATGACCGCAGAGCATTCACATCTTCACAATGAGTTAAAGGTGGAGTTGGGACCCGCTGCAAGAGTGATGAAGGCTTCAAAGCATCCATTTTCTGTTGCCACACGCACAACCGTTGCTACAGCTCAACGCATGGTTCGACCCGAGTCGACTCGCCGCAGCCGTGCACTGCTAATAAAAAGGGCGCTGGAGCTGGTGGGGAAGCCCCTGGGCCGCGCGGGCAGTGACGGCAACAACGGCGTGGATAACTTTGAGCAGCCATCAGCGGTGAAGCAGGCATCCAAAGATCGGGCTGACGTCGAATCCCAGGCAAACTTGGAGGATTCACTCACAGAAGCGGGGACTTTAGTAGATTCCAATTTAGAGGAAATGAAGATAAAGTCCGATCCACTTGCTCTAGTGTGGCGACTGCAGCGGCGTCTTAGGGAGGAGACATGGCGATCGGCAACGGACTCACTGGCACACTTGGAAGCGAGTAACGGCGGCTCTAAGAAGGATAATGACAAATTGTTGGCGTGGCCGGAACCCCCATCCCGCCTGCATCGGGAATTGAGCCATTACGAGGAACTTGGAAAATTCATTAGTTTGGTGCCCCTTGACTCGTTATCTGTCACAGCACGCGGAAAAATGCAAGGCGAGGATAATCACTCTATGTGGCTCTCTCAAATTCATGCTAGTCCAAAAGGTGCGGTGATAAGTAGAGGGGAGGAATACGCTCAGCAGCCTGAGGAAAATAAGGAAACTGTTAATGATGAAAGTTCTTCAGATGATTCTCCACCACGTGGCTTTCCAACAGTACTTTTGAGACAGAGTGCCGTGGCTATTCTTCCTACGCTTCAAACAGCAGTAGGTGATTTGGATTCCGAAAGCGGTGACTCTGTGGCGGAGGTGACACGTGAATTTCTAGAGGCAACAAGAAGTCGAGATGATACGTATGGGGAACTTGAAGAGGTGGTTGGTAAGGCTGAGCACTCTGGGCCTTCCGTGAGAACGGCTACGCAGTCAGAAGAATTTGGTGAGGTGAAATCGATGGCTGTAGAAGATGAGAAAGAGTGCACAACAACTTTAACGGATGCAGCTTTTGTTGCAAAGGGGGAGGAAAGTGAGGAGGATGCACTGGAAACATCCGGGAAAGATGAGAAGGAAGGGATTATGTTGCTTGCCAACGATAAGGGCCAACATATTTCTGAAAAAGGGGCTGCGAGCCAGAGCGAATGCAAAAACTCTTCAATGGTTTCTGAAGACTTACAGAATGGTTGCATTACTAATTTTGATGACATTTGTGCCATGCGTGAGTTAAAAGCCGAGGAATATACGAACCGCATTTCTCTCGTTATGGAAGAGAGTTTGCAAATGAGTGAACTCTGCATTTTGAGTCGTTCAGTGGCGATGAAATTTGCAAAAGGATCTTGTGCTGATTTTAGGCATAACTCCGTGAAGGAAGAAAAGTCCGTTTCGGCGTCCATTATAGGAACGGAAGATGTTTTGGGAAATGGAAATGAAATGGCTAGTAAAATGATGCCACAGCGGTGGATTGAAAGAATTTTGTTTAGCCCTCATTTTTACCAGTCACGTCCTCGACGCTGGCGCTCCAAAAGACGAAGGGGAAAAGTCCGCTCCCGATGTTTGACAGGCCTTCAAAAGAACTCTGGGGACATTGAAAAGAAGTTGCAGGCAGAAACCTTGAAGAAGTGCTTGAATGAGGCACTGAGTGCAGTGCAGGAGGCCCGTGTGGAGATCAACACCGAAGCGCAACGTTTCTCTAAGGAGAAAGCTGAGATGGAGGAATCCTTTATGGAGCTCCAGGAAAATTTAGCGGCGAAGGATCAAACCATTAATACCCTCCACTCCTCAATTCAGGATTCGCATTTGGTCATTGACCAGCTCAAACGGCGAATTGATGGGAATGCGAGGGAATCTGCAGCTATTGAAAAAATTATACAGGTGACAGTCGCAGAACTCCGCGTTGCGAACGACGCATTGGAATCCGCAGCAGAAAAACACGAGAATGCATTGCGTGCTCAGGCAGAGTTATTTGGAGCACGATTGTGTGAGACAATGATTCTGCTGCAGGAGGCGCGTAAAAAGTCGGAGGAGGAACTTCATTGTGAGAGGGATAAATTTGTCGCTTTGGAGCGTGCGGCGAACGTCCGCCTGACGGAACTGCAAAGCAAGTTATTGGAATCAACTGCAACAGAGCAACGAGCATTGAGACTTGCAGCGGCACTGGAGCGGGCATTGTTGCTAGCCAAGAGCTCTGTCGAGAAACACGTCGCGGAAAAGAAATTGATTTCCCTTGAACTGTTTGATGTGGAGGAACGTCTCTGGAGCGCGCGGGGACAAACCGCTGCAGCTGTGGCGGTCATAGGTCGATGCGTACTTATTTCACTTATCCAGCGTTGCTTCAGTAGATGGATGCGCAAGTGTCGTGAGTCAAAATGCCGCACGCTGGAGCGTGTGCAGCGCGAAAACAACGAGCGGCGACGTGAGTTGATATTGTGGTGTGACCACGTTTGCTTCCCGGATATCGCCGCTGTGCCGGTGCGACGCACCAGGCAACCAGTGATATCGTCTAACGTTTCATGTGAGAAAGCGCCTGTGTCTCTCACTGCCGTCGCGGGGGCACGGGCAAAGCGCATTGGATCGGCTCCCGCCGTTGCCATGGAAGCATCGGAGCCGCGTATTTCAGGAGAGACGCTTCCTCGTTTTTGCGATGTCACCAAACAAATGGCACATGAGCGGCAGCGAGCGGCGGCGCTTTTAGCGGAACGGGATGCCTTGCGCGACGCACTCCGGGAAAGCAGTGCCGCGAATAGTGAGTTACTTCACCAATTGGAGGTGACCCTGCGTGGTAGCACAGCTCCACAATAAAGAAGAATTCGTTGTTTTTTCTTTTAATGGCAGCGCATCTTACAAACAACAACGATGAGAATAAAGTGAAAGGACGTATATTTTTTTGTGATGCATTTCGACCCTGCAACACCTTCCGTTTGTTTTCTTTGTTTCCGCTTTCTTATCGACCTCTTTATCCACAGGGTGGGACGCTTAAGAAGAAAACATAAACTGGGCGAGGAAATTGTTGGGGTGTCACTCTGTATTGCAGTATGTGTTGGGTGTTTGGTTGAGTGGTAACAACCTTTTACCTTTTTTTTTTTTTCCTTTTCCTTTCTCTTTTTCTCAGTCTTTTTTTTTTTTTTTTTTCTTTTTTTGCGGTTTTTCACTCCTTCTGGGATATGTTGTAAAAGGGTTTTTTTTCCTCTCTCTCCCTCTCTCTCTCTATATATATATATTTATATCCTTGTCTGGGCAAAATATTGTGTTACTTTTGCTGTTGTTTTTGTTGTTGCTTCTGGTACCGATTTTATTGGTTTTCAGCTGTCGTTGTTTCTCCGTCGCATTGATCTCTCACTGATGAACACGCAGGTTGCATATAAATGAAGAAGCGGCGGCCTCAGCGGATGAGAGGGTTTGGAGCAAAGCTCGACGGTGATGTCACAGTACGGCGCTTTGTGGCACCACAGTTGCGCACAACTACCGCCATACGTCGTGGGGAGATGCTGGAGCCGATTGGGGAGGTGGCAATGCGTGTTGGCGTGGATGCCGCAACGGTTGAGGGATTGGTGGATGCACAAGGCCTTGCACTTTTTGGTAAATTGCAGCACGGAGCGGAGGTGTTTCTTGCAGGAGCCGTGGCTGAGAGAAGCGATAAACATAACAGCAACTGCGATGATAGCGGTGGGATGCTCTCCTTGCAACCCCCAGATGCATCGGTGATTTGGGCGTACGATTCACGCATGTTGCTCCATGTGCCGCCTATTGATCGTATACCAGAGACGCCATATCGCTTGCAGCGGGC